GCGGTACAATGTGGTGGTACAATTCGTTCACTTTGTTGTTCAGTGCTTTCTGTTGTTTTCGTTTTTATTCTATCTATTTACCTTCTTATGAAACTTCTTAATTATTGACCCGGCTTTTAACTATGACCAGAATCTGTTTTACGTGTTGACTCGACTTTTAACTTGGACTGAACCTGTTATTCTCGTCGACTCGGCTTATTCTCACGGATTTGGAATCATGCTGCGATGTATATATGTCACTCGAATTAGAATTAGACACTCAACAGAGTACTTGTCTGTAAACATCCGATATGAAATCCAATAAGGAAATTCTCCGTCAGATGTAAGTATTTCGATGTATGTACGACTAAAATGCTGTAAATGGGTAATATGTAAACATATTAACATAGATCACTGAAAACATTAATATTAACCCTTACATTTAACCTACAGATACCAAGCAACAGTGTGGTGTGTCATGCATGGTTGTTGGTTGTTACTATAAATTAAGTTCCTGAAATAAGTCAATCACGTATTGGTAATGAAAATGTATGTATACATTGTGGAAGATCTTTAATATTGTATAAGAACTCGTATGTTAAACAACAATACTGACAAAAGATCTGTTGTTGCGAAAAGGATTATGCCACAACAAGTAAGTAGAAACAAGATTCATTTAATTATAGTAAATACGTTATAGTAATAATAATAAGTCAATTATTTGACAATTATAATTTACCATTATATTATGCTTATGCTTTGTATGGAATACAACACATCTAAACAAACCGAGCATGTAATTAACTAGAGATAGTATTTTAAAACTAATGGGATGGTGTCTGTATTTTGAAGATATTTATATAAAATCAAACCCAAATGATGACCTCTGTATTCTATGTGTTCCATATTTATTTATTCTATGTGTTATTTAGTTGTCATAGTATAAGACTTCTTAGTTTTGCACTAAATAATTGTTGTGAGTTGTCACAAATATTATGTATTTTGATTTTGATTGGGTTTTTACCTGGCTCGAAATTAAAATCTAAACTATATTTTATCAAGAATAAATGCTATAAACATTGAAAGAAATGATAACGTAACAATATTTCTAAAGATTTTATTTCTTTTCAGCTCCGGTCATCAGACAGAATTTGTCACACTTGTTGGCAAAGGTGTAATAGTTTATCTGTAAATTATACTGCACCATCTTCATCATCTGCAAGTTCTGCATCAAGTGTTCCAGATACATATTCTCAAGAATTGCCAATTCATGAGCTGGAGCACTCTAATGATGATAATATTATATCAGTCTCGAATTCCAGGGAAAATACTTGCAAGTGTACCTACAATAATTTTGGTGGGGCGTAGAACTGTATGTTGCTGTGCTCACATAATGACGATAATTTAGTATTTAGGTAGGGCTAGATATCAGTCAAATATTGAAGCCACCACAATTTTTAGATAATTTTTTATAACAAAAAATTTATACAACTGATATTTAAAAATATTAATCTATACATGTTTTTTAATTTACATATCCTTTTTTATGACTCAAAAGGTTTCGTCCTTTACCTAAAATCCATAAATGTATATAAATATGTTGTTTTAATGAAAAACTGTGTAGAAAATTGTTGAAAAAAATTAAAACTTTTTTGAATATAACTTTTTTGGTGAGCTTTTATTAAAGATATAATGTGCATATAATTATCTATATTTTTTGCCCTTTCTTATAGTATATTACTCTTGTCTGTCGGTTCTGGCCGAAGTTTCTATGGAAGCTTGGCACTGTCCTTTATTTCATTGCTTATTTAGCAGGCGCATCTGAAAATAATGCAAATGCGGGGCCTTATTTAATAAAATATTTAAAGATCAATTTATCAATTAGATTATAAAGCTCAATTAATTTCACAGTAAAATACAAAAATAAAATTAATTTAATGAATTATTAATATTCCAACCAAATATTGAAAATATTCAAAAAAAGTCATTAAATTAACAAGAAGTAATTCAAGTTTCTGCTTACCTAAAAAATTAGATTAATGAACGTAATAAATTGCATTTGTTCTTTTGTCATCGACTTATTTGGTAGGTGATTCTTATAATTAATTATACTTATAACCAAAAATGGTTTAAAATCAACTGAGTTAACATATTATTTTTTGTTTGAAAGAACTATCGTTCCAGTTCAACAAATTCATAAATTTTTTAAGAATAACTGTTACTTTTATTTTTACAATGTTGCCAAGTTTCTATAGCCAGTGTCAGAACAGTAATAACGAAATTCGACCTTACGACTGATATCCATGAACTAATATTGTTTGTATGACAGTAAAAGAGATAGCTAACAAGGAGCGCGTCTTTGATTTTCGCCTCGTTTTTGTCGGTAACCACAAGAGGTTTTATGTTTGATTTTTTTTTCACACGGCACGGCGCCAGCGTTCTAGAAACGAAGCGGTTTGGCAACATCTTGAATTTTGAGTGAACTTTGTATGTTTTTACAATTTTATTATTGATTCTTTTTGTGAAATAGGAATCTTTGATCACATGACACTAAGGAATTACTTAAAAACAAAACGAAATAAAAATGAGAAATGAGTAGTGTAGAGAATGACATAAGAGGTAGTTATAACAGTATTGGCATAATAATCGTAAGCTAATATAAATATTTAATCATCGAGGAACTCTTCAAACTTCTTACCTACTCTTTATGAGAGAGATGTAGAGTAAAAACGTAATTCCATTAATTTCTAAAGAAAGTAAAAATTCCATTTGATCTGATATAATGTTATAATCCCTACTAAAATTATAAATGCAAAAGTAACTCTGTCCGTTTGTTATGCTTTCACGTCTAAACCACCGAACTTATTTTCATGAAATTTGGTACAGAGTTAACTTTGAGAAAGTAGGCTACTTTTTATCACGAAAAAAGGGATTCCTGGAGACCACGCGGGCTAAGCCGCTGATGGAAAGCTAGTATAAATTATAAATTGTAAACAATAATAATTTAAATATTTAATTTGCAATGACAGTTTGTATATCTAAATAAGTAGTAAGTATGTTACTCTCTGGATATTTCGCTAATATTCATTCAATTTTCACGTAATGCGACGATACGACTCCTCTCTTGTATAGAGAGGTTCCTCGAATACATGGTCCAAATTCAAGCCAAGCTCACGTTAAGCAAATCAAACTCCAGTTTCTAGCACGGTGGTCAGGTATTAACAGGTATCAGTTCAATAAGAATGCGGAGGTTAAAAGAAAATCCAGAGTGAGCACGTCAACAATTAGCAATATGTAATAAGCGACTAAACTAAAAAAAATAACAACACTGTTATTGCATTCATTGTATTTGTTGCATACGTAGAGCCATGCTGATTGGTCATAGTAAAATACTACGACCAATGAAGATGCGCCCGTAACTCCGCCCCCTAAAATTGCATCAAGTGTGTGCCAAGCGAACGAGATTTTGAAGTGGATAGGCACGCGAGACCGCCACTGTACCTACTACCAGTTCAAAGACTTTGAATACTAGATATTGTTACCCCCCGTGGTATACGACGGACTTGATTCGTGATATACGTTTGAAGTACAATATAAATTACACAGACGATATAAGCAAACTAAGTCGATTGTTGATTATACTGAATACCCACGGTGCAGAACGCGAGTAAAGGAAGTTGTAGAACTGGCGCACAACCGTTACAGAGATAGAGTACAAAGCAATCTAGAGAAAAACCCGAAATTATTTTGGCAGTTTGTGAAGGGTAAGAGAAATCTTTCAAATAAACAAAAGCTATTCAAGCAAGGTGTATCGTAACTAACCTTTCGTTTTCATTCCTTAGTTCATATCAATAATTTTGCTCATATCGATAAACTTTTTAGTGTTTTCCATTTATATTCTTTACTTTCTTCATTTTATAACAATGGACCTTCAATTTTATACCTGTAACCATTAAAATTCTGTAATATATACTTATCCAAACCTCTACGAACTTTCATTCTATGTTTTTTACTACTTACACTAATGTGAACCCTTACCTGTAGCTTTCATAGTTTTTCGTTATACATTTTACGAATTCTAATCATATTAAAGCACATATTTATATAATATAACACAATTTATCGCTAATTTTAATTGTTTTGACAGATTTGACATGAAAGTTTTTCTTCGTTGCTATGGTTATATTTGATAGGTACTCTTCATGAAAATTGACTCATTGTTTGTCAGTTTTAGGCATTGAAACCCTGTAGTTTTTTTAGGGTTTTCATTTGAAATCATTTACTTCCAAAGTTGAGTTCGTCTTCAGGTATATAAAACCTCGCCCAAATAGTTCTGGATCACTTCAACGGTAACAGTTGCCCAAGTTAGCTTTTTGGAGCTTGTACAGAGCTAGCTAAATTCTTAAAAGGCCTATTTATTTAAGGCTCCTCAGAGTTTCGATCTCAAAGTCACTTGACACTAGTGTTGCCCAAATGCAAGAACAAGACGAGACTTGGCCAGTCTTGGTCTTGGTCTTACGCCAATACACCTGGTCTTGGTGTTGGTTTTGCGCTCCCAGTCTTGGTCTTGGTCTTGGTCTTGCAGCAAGAGTCTTGCAAGTCTTGCAATTACCTATTAGACTATTGCTATTTATTAAAGTTTATTTTAGATCTTAGGAATTAACATAGCCATAGTAAAGAACAATCAGATTAATAAATGTCTGAAGATTTGATAAAAAATTCGATAACTGCCACATGGTTATCAACTGAGCTATATGCCGTTTTCCATGGGAGTAACTGTTTCTTAATAAACATTTACGCTTTATAAGCTTACATGTGCTAAAACATGTAAAAAACAAATTATTTACAATAAATTGACTGTATTTTAAAGAATCTCTCTAGAAAGAGATTGAACCCTCAACTTATATGAAATTTAATAAAAGAGTTTTACGATTTATCATTTATTTCAATAAAAAATAAAATACAACACAAATCAAATAACATAACAGTACACAACAGCTTTGTCATTAGGTTCTGTTACTTTATATCAATTCTTTTGACCAAGAATTAATACAAAGTAACCATCTGGCTGACTCATCACTTAACCTATTTCTATGTTTTCTAATTACTAATGATGCTTTAGAAAATAATCTCTCAGCAGGTACTGAAGTTGCAGGTATTGAGAGAAAATCACGGGCCATCTTCGATAAAGTCGGATACTCTGTCTCATGCGTCCTCCACCAATCTAAAATGTCTTCCGAGCTGGCAGCTCTTGGTTTTCTCAGGTACTCCTCCAACTCGTCTATCACTAAGCCTTGAAGACAAGATCCAGATGACGTCGAGGGACATTCATACAGTTTATCAAAGTCTATTACGTCTTCATCTTCATCACATACCTTATTTTCTTTTCTTGGTAATTCCAGAGATTTGTTCAGTGAGTGTAGACTGTAGTATTCTTCATAAAGTTCATTGAACTTGCGCAGGCTTTCTGTTTTAAGTTGCTTCCCCCATATTGTCAGGTCAAAAGTCTGAGCCTTATGCCTTGGGTCTAAAATTAAAGAAGTACAATAAATCCAGTTGCTCTTCTTATAATGTTTAAGCATTTTGTCTCGAGCTGCTTGGAAAGCCAGAATGAGCCTTTCATCCACTTCAGATCGATTAGGTTTCTCATCTAACTGTTTTACCATGGATTCAATTTTATCGAGCTAGAGATTGAATGATACAATGACTAGCGGTAATGTAACATATTTTTCTCCACCAAGTTTTGTACTTAAAAGTTTAAAGTTTATTAGAAACTTATGTATTTTTTCGAGTATTTGCCATTCACTAGCTGTGATTTGAAAATCATTCAATTCGGTGACAGAACTGCACAATATGTTAATGCTCGCTCTCACTTTTAAACCAAGTCCAGTCATATCATGTGTGGAATTCCATCTCGTAGGACAGTCAAGAATGGGATTCAGATTTGATGGCACGCCAGCTGCTTCACAAGCAGATTGAAACTTCTTCTTCACTATTTCACTTCTTTTTATTTTACTGGAAATACTGCGTAACTTTGTTAGAGATGTACGCGTGTCAGCAATATTTGGTGCATATTCTTCATCTTCTTCATCTTCTTCATCTTCCTCAGTTTCGTCTGCATAGTCTTCATACTGCTGATCTTGCGCGTTAGTGTAAGTCTCACAATGTAATGCTAAGGTCTTTAATGAATCTTATACACCAAGGTTTAAAAAGTGAGCAAAGCACCGGAAATGTTGATTGTCTGAATCAAAGTGTGGTGGCAGCTGTTTGCCTAGTTCATACATAAATTTGGTATTTGCAGTTGCGTTGTCTACCATGACACCTTATATTTTATCAATTATGTCATATTCCAATAAACATTTGTGGAAAATCGTTGCAATATCTTCCCCAGTATGTCGACCGCGTGATAGTATAAAATCAAGAACTACAGATCGATACTTCCATTCGTTGTCTATATAATGCATAGTAACCCCGTAGTAACTCCTACCAGCAATTGACATCCACCCATCAACGGTAAACGACATTTTAGATGATAATTGTTGAAGTCGTTCCTTAAGATTCAATTGGAGCTCTTCAAATCGCTCTTTGACTTTTCTTCTAAATGTGGACCTTTTAGGAAACAACATATTCGGGCAAATACGTCGAAAATATACTTATGTAGCTTCGTCATCGCAAAATGGGAAGGGAAGATATTTTTTCACCACCCAATCAACTGTAGCTATCGTGATGTTGTCACTACTGTTTTCCGACTGAAATAAAACAATATATCTTGTGTTATTATTTAAAACATACTAGGTTTGAGCGTTTAGGAGGAGGAGATTTGTTGTTGTTAAATCGAGAAAATCGTTAAATTGAGGTTTGTTATATTAAGGTTGCACTGTACTGTAATTTACCAAAATAAAGTACTTAGTTGTTACAGGTCGATTATGAAAACAAATTAAAATATGGGTGTTTTATAAAAAATATTTAACACGATAGTTACATACTTAATATGTGTTATGTAATTGTGAGATAAGTAAATTTATTCTTACCTGTCCACTTCTTCCAGCAGTTACAAAAAAGCTTGCGATATCTCCGCTTAATTTTGGTTTAACAGGAAGAAATATTTGTGATTCCTTTTTGTGGAAAGATATTAGATGTTTCCTTAAGCCTGAAGTGTTTCTGGTTTTCACTTTTATTTCAACTTTTTTATGTTGGCACAATTTACACAAGGCAGTTTGGGATGCATGAATTATTTCGAAATACTCCTCAAATTTGCTTAAACTCTTATTACTCGGACTAGAACAATTTGAATCTTCGTCACTCATATTAAATTGTAGACGTGATACGTTTTCCAAAAACAACAAGAAATAGTAAAAACTATTATTACGTTGGACTCGAAGCACAGCTCAATTAAAAATGATGAATTAAAATAATGCCTTTTTTTATAGTACATTTCCTTGCTTTGTAACTCGGACAGCTCATTCCTACCGCGCCGCCACGGCACGTGCCGGCTCTATTTAAAGGATGCCGCCGCAAATCAAACGATGCCGCGTGCGGCGTACAAACACAGATTAATACCTACTTGTACAGATGCGTGACATTGTACCAATCACAATTCTTTACATATAAGTGAATGTTTTGTCGTACATCTATACTAATATTATAAAGCTGAAGAGTTTGTTTGTATGTTTGATGACAGAAGTTTTAAAATAAAAAATTAAATCCTGAACGACATTATACCTCCAAAGTTACTATTCCTCGTGGACGAAGTCGCGGGCACTGCTAGTAAATACTTACTCTCGTCATCTCCCTCAGAGATATTCGGGCTCATAAGCAATACAAAAATCCTATCGCAGGCTTTTTATTTTAAAAGTAGGTTAAATATTATTTTATTCGTTTTGTAGATTTTTTTACACGTTTCAAGTATGTTTAAAAGTGGCTACAATATTTATCAAACGGGTGATATTTGGCCACTTTTTTGCTATTTTTTCTTGTAAAAAATTAAGAAATTTAAGAAATATTTTGACTAAATGTACAATAATAGTACCTAAGTAATTAGTTTAAACCCATATAATCAATATTATAATATATACTTATTAGAATAAATTATTATGACATCTACTACCTATCCTTACCATTATCTAATCATAATACTACTTGCGTGATCAGCATAATGTATTCGTTTCCATTCTAAGCACACTGAAACTTATTTATTCTTTGGAACACCTGTGCTTTTAAAACTATGCCTTGGCCCCGTGGCGGCATTCAATTAGTGTCAAATATTGTGATTTCAGCGCGGCGGCACCGATTGTTGATTGTGATTTCAAAAGAAGCCGCCGCCACGTGTATCATCACCATGTACTCCCGAAAAGCGGCAAATTTCTTTGAGAAGTCAGTACAAAACCTTTGATGCCGCATTATCAAAGTGCCGATGGTTAAAACAAAACTATGCATGCACTCTGTTTGACTTTAATGGATATTTTTTAATTCGTTATGTATGCTTATGGTAGGTATTAGTCGTAATGCGCATAGGTCCTGTTTTTCATATTCTTTGATACAGTTTTTTGCGTCTCATAGAATTCCTAAGCGTACCTACATGTACACCGAACTATTATTCCTAACTACTCCGTGACATAGCGCTAATTCCTAGCTGCAAGACGCAAGAGTTTTGCGGGATTAGTCTTGTTCTTGCTCAAGTCTTGCATGGTCAATCTTGGTCTTGGTCTTGCTAAAAATACGCGGTCTTGCTCTTGGTCTTGGTCTTGCAAAAATGCAAGACCAAGAACAAGACTGAATTTGGGCAACACTAATTCGGGCACATGATGATTATATCACAAAACATTATGTAATGGATAAAAGATTTAAAAGACAAAATAGAGAACCGATACGAATAAAACGTATTTGGGAAAGTTATATAACATGATGAAATGATTCTATTGACGTATAAAAATCGAAGATCTGGAACAACTGCTGTAGTGTGTGCTGCTATCATTATGATAAACATTTTCTATTATTATACTAAAATCAAAGATTTAGAAAAACTACTTCTCAACAAACTAAACCTTAGGCAATGCGAATATAACGCCTTAGAAAAATTTATTTAATGTGATGAGAATTTCTCATTGACGTATATAAATCACAGATCTGTAGCAACTGCTGTAAAACCCTAGCAGCCCATTAAACCTTAAGAGATACGACTATATCGCCTGAGGAAAGTTGTTCAAGATAATGACCACTATCTGATCATGAAAGACAATTGATTTTTAAGTAACCCCCTACTTATCAAGTGAGGATCCTTATTTTCTTTCTTATTCTTCTCGTGGTATTGACAAACAATAAAACATTAAAAACATTTACTGGGAGTACCTCCACGCGGTGAACGCATTAGTAGTTAAATACTGGCTAAACTCCCATTATTATAGTCTGAGACATTTACTCCACGTGAAGAAACTATCACATCTAGCCGTGTCCATCACGCTATGACTCGCAAGTCTAGAGACATTTACTCGTACTCGGCGAGAAGAACGTTTCATATCAACGTAATTTAAAATGGTGTTCTCTCACACCATTTTACTCGGAAAAAAAATAGTTAACAATTTTGATTATTGAATAGTGAAGACTATCTCTTGGCATAGAACAAAGTAGTCTAACATTTCAGAAATGTTGCTTATCTTTTTAATTAAACCCAAAATAGCAGAGAAAGATTTTCATAAAATGCACAAAGACACTTTTTTGAGTTCTTAACAAATGAAATAAAAAAAAAATAGAATGATATCTCTCATAAAGTCGTAAAGAACGCAGTAGCGTCGAAATTTTGAAATAGCACTGATTAAATATAGAAAAAAAAATATAAGCCAAAAGACATCAAAAATTTCTTGAAGTTGATATTGAATTTCTCTTAGCCACAACAATATTATTGAACAAAGTGTATGCCCGATTAATGACTATTTCATAAGGAACAAAGATATTACAATTTTAAAGCATAAATTTGTTATATTATTTCAATAAAAACGATAAATGTCAACGCAAAATCAATACAAAAAGCGATGCACCGGCCATCTGAGCTCAGTACCGCGAGAGCGCTCCTCTACTTTGGATTTATGTCGCATTCATCATCATCATCAGCCCTTTTACGTCCCCACTGCAGGGGCTCAGGCCTTCCTTATGGATGGTTAAGGAGGATGGGCCATGACCCTCTACGCTGGCCAAATGCGAATTGGAGGGTATTAACGACTGCAAATGCAGCCGGGACCAACGGCTTAACGTGCCTTCCGAAGCACGGAGTAGCTCGAGAAAACATTTTTTTGGTCACCCATCCCGTGACCGACCCCTGCAAAAGTTGCTTAATGACAACGATCGCGGGCCGCGGCGCTTAACCACTACGCCACTGAGCTACTTTACTTACGCCACGTGCATATCGCATTACTTCGCGCCATTTTCGAGCTATAGTGGGACTTCCAATTTTGATCACGAAGTTCGATTTATATAGCTTGTTGAATTATTTCTAATACACATTCGTTATTTTCCGCATGGGTCTAAAGACCCCTAGGTATAATTGTATAAGAAAGTTAAATTATAAAGAAATGTAAATACAGCAAGGAACTTCTTTTCTCAATACTTATATTAGTACATAAAAATTGGAGTGCATATTTGAAATATTAAAATAACCGCTTTTCACTTAATACATTTGTGTGTATACGCGGTACATATACAAAAATAATATATTTTTATCTGTCTGTCTGTTAGTTCTGGCTTATCTCTGAAACGGCTTGACCGCTTTTCACTAGAAGTTGACTTATGTGATAACGATTAACTTGGACTCATGGCTCGATGCAATTCGACCGATATCAAATCGATCATCGATTTAAGTTACATGCATCTAATTCGACAAAATTATCGGAAATCCGTATATCAAACAACTTTTTCTCAATTCCATATATTTTTAATTTTGAAGTGTGTCTGTTTACTGTTTCGCGTGCATATGTACAATTAGTTTGCACGTTTAATCTACTATTGTTAAGATAAAGCGTCTTTTGCAAGGGCCGATAGTGAGATGGGTGATCTTTTTTTTATTTTGCTGATCTGGATAGAGTGGAACAGGCATTTACAAAGATTAAACGACGTTCCCAAAGGTCCGTAATGGGACAGGTGATCAATTTCTTATATTTCACTGAATGGGCAATCAATCTTTTTTATTTAGCTGAACGGGGTGATGGTGGGGCGGAGCGGGGCATGGCGAGTATTTACTCTTTTTAAAGCATACTTACTTAGTAACGTGTAAAAAAAAATTCGTCACCCATCCGATTACTGGCCTTTGCAAACGTCGCTTATCCTGTACAATCGCAGATCAAACTTGTTAACTTCAGCATCAAGTCAATCCACCCAGCATTTCTGACTGGACCCGCGTGTGGTTAAACTATTCCAACCAGCATTCCTCGCTGCATTCAACACACTAATTGCACTCACGCCAAGCACATATTATTAATCGATGATTCAAATGCATCCAGAATTCTACACTGGGCCCACATAAAGGTGCCAGTGCGGATATGTGGTGCTAAAGCATATATATTTTCAATTAATGATTAATCTACCAAGTAATCCGTACTGGGCAAGCGCGATCGTCATAAATCGCTCCATTAAAAAA